TGCGAACCCAGGAGACCACCATGTGACCTAGAGCTGTGCTCTGCACTCCTGGGCCTCAGTCTCCCCATCTGTTAAATGGGATATAGCAGCTGCTGCTCCAGTTTGCAGCTGGGCTGGGCAGAAGGCAGTTCCTGAGGCACGGGGGTGGAGGCTGATGGGGCAGTCTGGGGAAGCAAAGGGAGGGTGCCAGCCTAGACCAGGAGAAATGAGACCGGATTCAGGAGAAACCAGGTAGCAGTGGTGAAATAAATGAATAAAGAGAGGCATCAGCTCTAAGTCTGGTTGGTCCTGTCCTCTGACTTGCCCTTGAGGGAATCCCAGAGAGGAGGGGCTCTTGGGGGGTTCTGAGGAAGAGGAGGCAAGGACTCCTGGCAGAGGTGTGTGTCCCCTTGCCCTCTGATGAGGAATATTTCAGGTTCCCATTTCCTTTCATGTATTATACAAGTTCTCATTGAGCAACTACTCTATGCCACTGGGCAGGCATGGGGAAATTGAATGGTGAGCATCTCCATGGAGGAGGCCTGGGGGAAACTGATTTGGCCTTGAGCTGGGGCAGGTGGTGGACCGAGGGGCTCACACTCTCTGTCCTAGCTGCATGTGTCCTGGTGCTGGAGGGATCATGAAGCCTGAATTCTGATGCCGCAGATCGGCTCTGAGACCCTGGGCAAGCCCTGCATCCTCCCTGGACCACTTTCTGGTTTTCAGTCCATTAGACATGGCTTTCTGTCCTGTTGATCTCTAAATGAGGGTCAAGGAGGTTACGAATATCATGATTCCCAGCACAGTGCCCAACAGGATGCAGTGGATCTACAATCAGGGGTAACTCCAGACGTGACATGAGAAACTGGGGGTGTGCGTGGGAGGACCTCAATGCAGAAAGAGCCACGAGGCTAACCTAACTCACATTTTATAGTTAGGGAAACTGAGACCCACGTGGCTCATTCCTTTGTTTGTTCATACATTCACTCATTCATTCAACAGACACCACTGGCAACAACTGTAAATCAAGGTGACAGAGAAGACAGACAAGGGACAAGCTGGCTTTGCCTGGGGAGCTCACAGTCTGGTGGGGGACAGACAGACAGACACTTACAACCTCACACATGTGCTTTGATGGGGGAATCCCAGGGCAGTGGAGGCACAGAGGGTCACCCAGTCAGAAACTGTCAGGGAAGGTTTGCCAAAGAGAGCCATGATTAAGTTTCAGAGGGTGAACAGCATTTGGCCCAGGGCAGGTGGAGGGGCCGCAGAGGCAAAGGCTCAGAGTTCCAAAGGTTGCCTGGACCACGAAGTGCATGGCCTTGTCTACCACATTGGGAGTTGGGGTTTGTCTCGAGGATGGCAGGGAACCACAGAAGAGTCTTAAGGAGTCACCAGCTTAGGTCTGCATTTAGGTCACACTAGCCACTGTGGCAGTTGGACTAACTGGTAAGGATGAGCTGGAGGTGGAAGACCAATGAAATGATCAGTGCAGGGAGAGGTGAGATGCCCCAACCAGCGGTACCTGAGCCAGCCTCAGGCTGGGCATCCCCTGAGACCTGGGCGCTGGGCACTGGGCTCAGGCAAGACCCCAGGCGGGAACCCCTAAGCTATGGGCTTGGGGAGCACTGGGGAAGGGGCAGGCGGAGGCCGGAGGACAAGCCAGGGAGCCGATGGGAAGAATCAGGGCGCCTGGGGAGGGGTCGCATCCATCATCTGGAACAGTGCTTGGACCTGCCCACAGGCCTGGCCTGAGAAAATCAACCCCGACTGCCCCCACCCCACTCCCCAGCGCCAGACCAAGCAACAAAAGACCCAACACTCTTTTACCCACCTCTGTGGAAACTAGCCCAGGGAATGTTCCCTAATTATGCCCTATTTTCCCGGGGGAAGTAAGTAAGGACCCAAAGATAAAAGCAGGGTGTCTCCAGGCTACACTTGAGTGTGCAGTGTGACCTGGGGCAGGCTCCTGGGACTCTCGGAGGCTTCCCCACTCCCAGGTCCCTGACTCCTGAGCCCCTCTCTGCAGAGCTGGGCCCTGAAGCTGGGTGTGTCAGGGTCATCCCTGGCTGGAGCCCCTAGTGGCCACGGATTGAAAGGCAAGACCTGTGACTGTGACTAGAGGTGTTTGTAGAAGGCTGGAGTCCATGGAGGCAGAGCCCAGGGCGGTGGGGTGACAGCCAGACACCACAGGCACCGGGCCAGGCAGGGTGGGCGGGTTCGGGTTCAGTCTGTAGACGGAACAGCACAAGTTCAAGTCTCAACATCATCACTTACCACGAGTGATCCTGGGCAGGTGACTTAACTGCGCTGAGCCCGAGTCACCTCATCTGCAGAATAGATACAAGAATAGTAGCCCCTCATGGGACAGTCATGAGGATTAAATCCACTGACATTTGGAAAGATTTTAGCACGAGGCTTCGCCTGTTGCAGATAATTTAGCCAAAAGCGGCTTTTAGTCAACGTGACAATTTGACAGAATTGACAATCTGGGTTTCAAAACAATTTGCTCAACAAATATTAAATTGAGAAACAACTTTGGGCCAGCATTGAACAAAGCATAAGAAGCCTTACCCTCAACACAGACAAGAAACAAGAAATTGGGCAAAACACATGGGAAGTCAGATAGCGATAAATGCTATGGAGCAAAACAGAGCGGGGAGGTCCATCTGTCAGGGCGGGTGCAATTCTATATAGGGAGATTAGGAAAAGTCTCACGCAGGTGACATTTTTGCAGAGACCTGAAGGGTAGAAGGAGGGCAAGCCAAACTAATGCCGTAAAGCCACTTTTTTCTACGCTAGGTAATTTTGATGCCACATCAGCTTGTGTGGCTCGGCAGGTCTGAGCCTGGGCTCCTCCATTCCCCAGAGCCCTTATCTCACTCTAATGTGGCCCTGCTTGCTGGGAGGTCTCTAGCCTCAGGCAGAGGAGGCCCCTGGCACTGAGCATGAAAGCTTTCCTTGGCTGCCTTGGGAAGAATGGACAGGGACCACCCAGGGGGACCTTGGCTGTTGCCGGTTCATTCTCGTTTGGACAATTCCTTCTCCCGCTGGAGCCAGCCACGATGTTCCGGTTTCCTGGTTCCAGCTCAGCAAAATCCCTACTTACTTTCCCAGAGATAGATTCAGGACTCAAGGCGATTAGTCCCCACTACCCCCATCACATGAACCATGCGTCCATCTCCCCATCAGCTTCCTTACTCAAGAACTGCAGCTTGTCCAGAATCCCTAACCCTGGAGGAATTCCATCGGACCCCAGTAACGTATCAAGACTCTTCAAATCCTGTGGTTTTTACTGAGAACAGTAGATTCCACAGGAAAGCTTTCTGCAGAATGCCGGAATTGGAGGAAGTTCTCCAGCCCCATGAAATAGGGCAGTAGTTCTCCAGGACCGTCAAACTTTGAAGAGGATCTCTGGTACATTAGAGTTGGGGGCAGCTCTTGGAAATCCTGAAGCACTGAAGGAATTTCCCAGAATTCCAAATCTCTAGAAGAGTTCTCTGAAATTGTAAAAGTTTGCGTAGAAGTTGGGAGGGATTTTCCGGAATCTTTGGCTGGGGGTGAGGATGTTTACCGGTGCTTGGAAGGCCATCATTAGTTTCCAGAATGCTGACAAATCTAGAGATCAACCTAGACGTCTGGAAGCCTGGTTGAGTTCTCCAGATCCTTGGGGACTCCAACTCTTAGCCAATGCAGAATGGGGAGCATGGCTAAAAGCATTACGGTAGGACAAGAGAAGCTTCAGGAAAAGCACTCCTGTTGATGCTTGTGTTTAAGAGGCTATAAGGTCTCATCTCGATGACCAACCCCAAGATAAACCCCGAGAAGTGGAGAGAACATAAGAGTTTATTCCAACCAAAGATGCAACTGCCAAGCATATCTTACCCACATCCCTCTATCTGCTTCAGCCTTCTCTCGCATCCTGCTTTCTCTCACTCAAGGTCTTTCCTCCCTTTGTCTAATGACACATTTGCCCCAATTCATAGTTATTCAATTTTGTACACAGCAGGTTGATTTCAGCCCCTTTGAGGGATATTTTGTGTCCTCTTATTTTTTCCATTGCCGTCTCCTTGTTGAGCTTCCATAGACTTGTCTTCCTTTATTTTAAGCGAACAAACATGGCAGGGCGGGGTTGGGCAGGTGGGGGTGGTCTTGCTATGAAACAAGGAGCAGCAGCTACTGGAACTTGTAAACAAGTTGGTGCTGTGGTTGGAGACCAGGACTGGCGTCAGGAGATCTGGGTTCTAAGCCTGCCCTGCAACAGACCTACAAGTCCCCTGGCCATCACTGACATCTGTACTTGCTGGCCAACAAAGAAAGATCTTTAATAGTTGGCCATAGGTGTCTTCCTCACGAACCTTCCTTCAGCCCCTGGCTCTGATCACACTCTCTCTCACTCATCACACATGAAGGCCAGGCCTGGTCTACTTGAAGGTCAGGCCTGGTCTACTAGGCATGAGGATCAACAAATTTATCTGTTGCCAAGCATCATTCCAGCACTGGCCATGTAGTAATGCATTCATTTCTCATAACAACTCTGTGAAGTAGGTACTACTGTTATCCTCATGTTACGGTGAGGAAACCAAGGCAAGAAGAGGCCCAGAATTTTCCCAAGGTCACACAGCTAGTAAGCGGCAAAAGTTGGATTTGTTATAAGTTGGTCTGGCTCTTGAGTAGATGATTTCAACCATCATGCCAAGTGCCACACAGTAGGACCACAGAGGATGGGAAAATAGAGGAGCAGTTTTTAATCCAACCGGGAACCACTGAGCAGAATAGAGCAGCCTCCTTGGAGAAGTTAGTCTCCATCAAATCCCAGCACAACCCAGCAAAGCCAGACCATACAGAGGTCCTTAGTGAGGCAGAGGAATGGACTTCTCAAGCTATTTTCCCACATATAAGAAACTTCACCACCTCCGAAGATAAAATAATTATTCACAGACTACCCAATGAAGGAGGATTCTGTGCAGCCTAGCCAGAACCAAGAGAATTAGAA